GGCAGGGCCCTGGGGGAGCCTGTGGCACCGGCTGCATATGGCAGGCCGGGGTGGCCACGTTGGTGCCGTCACCAGGGTCTACACAGCAAGCCTAGGCACACCTATAGGAGGAGAGGGTTTCATCTGTGACGCCCACCCCTCAGATGGTGTCCCTGGGCAGTGCAGACTGTGAGCGCCCCTGGGTGCTATCAGAGAGGGTGGCGTTACAGCCACTCTGAAGGGACAAGCCCGCTGTCTTCTTTTACACAAACTGCCAAACCTGACAGGGCCGGTCCTGCGCGCAGCGGCACATCCATCCAGAGCGTCACCCTTTGGAACACTTATATGCAGCAGGCGTGAGTGCCTGGGCGGCGCCGGTGCTCCCTAGGTCAGGCAGCACCGACTTCCCACGGGCTTGGGGGAAAGGGGAGACTCTGATCGTTACGAAGGGGTGAAGTGAAATGGAAATGTACTTGGGGGTCTTTGGTGACAGACAAGCAAGTGCGCCTCAAACAAACACACATGTTGTGGAGTTCCAAGCATGTCATGAAATGATGGACACGTGAGCTTCATGACATTCTGTGTGTGGGCATGTTTTTCAGCTCTGCCCCCAGTTCCTTTAGGAGGCCGGCTGAGAGCCTGGGAGGGGGTCAGGGGAAGACACTCTGACTCAGGGCAGCTCCCTCCTCAAGGGAGATAAAGGCCTAACTGCGCCAGTGCCCACCACGCATGCATGCCACGTCCCGTGCTCTCGCACAGCACTGTGCACACACCATGTGGCTCTTCACAACCCCCTCGGCCCCACGATGGGACTGTTTCCTGGGTGTGCGAAGCAATCACACGGCAAGTGGCCTTGTTTCCACGTTAGCTCCTCTCTGAACAGGAGGGAAACTAGGTTTTAGAGCAGCCAAGGCTATACCCTGAAGCCAGGTCCCCTCTAGCCCCCGCGTCACCACACAGGAGCAAGCCAAGTTACTTCTGTGAGCCAGTTCTTGCCTTTTCTGGCCACCTTGATCTGCTCTCCCACCAACGTCCCCAGCGCCCGGCCTTGGGGCTCTCTCACCGTGTTGATCTTCCTGGGCAGTGGGACGGGTGTCTCCGGCAGAGTGGGTGCTGGGTCGTTGGAGTCCTCCGATGCCTGCTTCTGGAGAGCGTCTCTGGGCTGCATGTTTGGGGAGAGGTCCACGGGGTGGGCCTTCGCAGGGGCATCTGAGGGCTGCTGGGCCTTGGGCGAGACCTCGCCACCCTGGGATTTTGCCAGCAGGTCCGCAAGCGGGGGCTTTGGGGGCAGGTCCTTCATCTGTGGCTTGGGAGGCAAGTCTGAGAGCTGGGGTTTTGGTGGCAGGTCACCCAGCTGTGGCTTGGGGGGCAGTTCTCCTGGCCTAGGTGGCAAATCTCCAATCTGGGGCTTGGGGGCCAGTTCAGTGGGCTTTGGGGGCAGGTCTCCCGGCGGGGGCTTCTGTGGCAACTCTGTCAATTGGGATGGTTTCTGGAAGATTTCGGGTGGGATGCTGGCCTTGTCTAAGGAGAGATGATGGCTGGTCTCTGTCTTCCTTAGAGCCACTGAGGGGGAAGCCAGAGAGAGTAGGCTCAGTGGGATGGATCACAGGAAGGTCACTGTCACGGTACAGAGGAGGGAGTCCCCTGGACATGTGGCATGAGAACCCAGGCCTAGGTGGCCGGTTATAGAAGCACAGACAGGTCCAGAGGCTGGCTGGTACCTCGGCACAACTCCTAAGATTTGATGCCTCCATTCAAACTGAGTCTAGCATGCTAACAAAGGAAGCTGCACACACAAGTAGGGTTTAGTGGATGGGTAAGTCAGAAGAGAGTGTTTATGCAAGCCTCTTACCTCAGTGCATTTAAATACTGACATCTTCCTTTGTTTTCCTATCTATTTTCTATGAACACTTGCTTTTATCGTATGCTTTACAGAGGAGTGGCCATGCTACTGAAAGTGCCGTTATCAGTGACATGCAATTTAAAATTGGCCACTCCACTTGTTTCCAGTGACTGATGAAACACGAGAAAGGGGAAGCCCCTTCCCTCCAGCTGACCCCATCCTGGCACAGCATCCTCGGAGACGGGGAGGGCTCCCTTCCAGACCACACAGCACGCATGAGGGGTTAGGCTTTAATACAGTTCCTCATGCTGTGGTAACCCCCCATCAAATTATTTTCTTTTGTTCCAATCGTTTTATCCCCATCAAATTATTTTTGTTGCTACTTCACTACTGTAATTTTGCTACTGTTGAGTCATAATGTAAATATCTGATATGCAGGATGTATTTTCATTGTTACAAATTTAACATAATTAAAGCATAGTGATTCATCACAAAACAATATGTAATCATATATTGTGAAATATTTATGTGTGTTCTGATGGTCTTAGGTGACCCCTGTGAAAGGGTTGTTCGACCCCCAAAGGGGTCGTGACCCACAGGTTGAGAACCACAGGACTGTAACAACCTAGTACAACAGAAACCATGGGGGAAGGAAGACAGCGGGTGGTGTAAGATGTGAAAATAATAATTTTAATATATCAAGGGGTCACAGGGTGGGGGGTGGTGGAGGGAAAACAGAGGAGGTGATACCAAGGGCTCAAATAGAAAGTGTTCAGAAAATGATGATGGCAACATATGTATAAATGTCTGATACAATTAATATATGGATTGTTATAAGAGCTGTAAGAGCCCCCAATAAAATGATCTATTAATACAATTTAAAAAAAACAAAAAGAAATCAGACTAGACTTACACTCACGGCCATCAAGTGTACTCAGACTCACAAGGACCTGCAGAGCAGTGCAGAACCGGCCCTGCGGGTCTCCCAGGCTGGGACTCTTCATGGGAGTAGAAGCCTTGTCCTTCCAGGACAAGGAGGACACGCAAGTGGGCTGTCCTGGGAGGCAAGTCTTTCATGCCTCCTTCTTTCGGTGATCTATACTTTTAAAACACTCTTTCTTCACTGTGAGAAAAGTGGAGGGACAGAACCCCCGCCTCATGGGAGCCAGCCCACCGTTGGTGATTTTATTCCCCAGCCGGCTTTGCTCTGCCCCTCGTTACAGGGGCATATTCCGGGTGGCACACTCTCCGCGCATCCCCCCCCACCCCCACCTCTGCAGGGCAGACACACACGCTTTCCCAGGACGGGCAACGTGGAAAGCAGCGTGCGCAGCAAGGGCAGGCATGCTGAGGGAGGGTCCTTCCAGGACGGGGGATGAGTGCGAGCTCCCAATGTTGGCCAGCTGCCCACAAGCACATGGAGAAGGCCTGAGCTGACCGGGAGGTTAGAAAGTGACGGTGGCAGTGGCAGAAACCCAGGGGCCTGGGAACTGGGTCACAGTACAGGCCTGTGGGTGCTCTGGAGGAGCTGCAGGGTAAGTCGTGCCCAGTGGACTGCTGATGGCAAGGCTCCTAGTTCAAACCCAAGAGCTGCACGGAGGGAGAGAGATCACACTCCCCCAGCCATCTTCTCTGCAGGGCAGTTATGAGCAGAACTGGACTAGAAAAGGAGGGGAGGGGGCTGGGGGGAGGCTGGGCGTGTGCTGGGGGCACAAAGCACTCCTGCAGTCTGGGCATCTGAGAATGAGCTGGAAAGGTCGCTGGGATCAGCCTAAAGGCGTCATGTCATCATGGGTGGGGAAAAGGAGTCCTGGGTGCCCCGCAGAGAAGGGGCACCAAATACAGAACCACGCACAAACTCCAGCCTGACTCCTGGTGGCCCACATGCAGAGACAAGGGCGGACCCAGAGCGTTCCTAGCCACCAGCCTCATGGGGCAGATGCCCACCTTTCTCCTGAAGAGCGGCTAAGCAGATCCACTGCCAACCTTCCGGTCAGCAGCTGTGAACTTCACCTCTGTGATACCAGGGCTCCTGGACTACTAGGGGCACAGTGCCTGGGGAGCTCTCAGGACAGGGCAGAGGCTAAGACCCAGTAGTCAGGGGAAGCCCTGCTCTCCCGCCCAAGGGGCACAGCTGATGGGGCCCATGCATTTTACTGACCAGAGCCAGGCTCCGCCAGTCATCACTCCCCAAATCCAGCGCTTTCTGGAAGGAAGTGGGAAATAGGGAATTCCAACGCCCTACATGTCCACCCCAGACACTGTGCCCAGGTTACCAGGGGCGCAGGTTCCTGTCGACACTGCCCTCAGCGCCAGACTGCTGTGGGCTTGGGGTCTGTGGCCGTGAGGGCTCATGGGGCCAGGTGAACCTTCCGCTGTGGGAGGGGGCGTGCAAGGCTAACAGGAAGGCATGGCAGCCATGTGCAGGGAGCAGCAGCACACAAGTCCTGAGAAGACTCGGGTCCTGGTCTCACAAATGGAAGGCCTGTTCGGGGACAGAACTATGGTCAAAGGGACAAGTGTCTTTGCCTGGCAGCGCGGCAATGCTGGGGACATTGCCTCCTTGTCCTTGGCACAGCGTGGGCCTCCACTGGGTGCTGCAGGTGCCCCCGGGAGGGGCGGTCTGGGTCTCGACTTCACAGAGGAAGGGGCGGTCTGCCTCAGGTCACAGAGGGAGGAGGCACAGGGGCTTAGCAGAGAGCAGCATGGCTTGCTCCAGGCCACACAGCCAGTTGGTGGCCGAGATGGGCCCTGCCCCAGTCCTCTCTGATGACGTGTGCAGAGAAAGATCGGTTCCTGGCAGGTATGAAACAAGCACTGGTTTCTGGTGGCATAGTGGGTTAAGATGAGGTGGGCCGCTAACCATAAGGTCGGCAGTTTGATACCAGCAGCCACTCTTGAGGGAGAAGGATGAGGCTTTCTGCTAGTGGAGAAACTTACAGTCTCGGAAACTCAGAGGGGCTGCTCTACAGGCTCGATGGGCTGGCATCGACCCAAATGCAGTGGGTTTTGATACTGTGCAAGCACACACCATCTGCTGAGCCAGTCTCCCAGGTTCCGTCAGGCAGCAGACTGACTGGGCGTCTCCCAGTGGCCAGCTCCAGGTGCAAGAGACCAAGGTCCCTTTCCCCTTGGAGGGGCGGTGACACTAGCGACCCATGACCGAGAGTGGGTCTTACCTTTCTGAGGTAGTTTAGGAAGAACTCTGGGACCGAGGGCAGTCTTCGCAGAACTCGTGCTGAAGGACAGAGAAGAGAGTTAGGGTCTGAAGCATGGCTGTGACAACAGGACTGCGTTACTCAGGGCAATCAAGAGCTCGCAGAACTATCTAGCGCATCCTCTTCAAATGCCTTCAGAGTCTGCCGGCTGGGGAGGACCAGGGGAAGGGTGGGGGTGGAGGGGAAGTAACAGCGACGAAGGCTAACTACTCCTCTCTCCAAGCCATTCCCAGAGGGGGTGGGGTTTACACGGGAGCCGCTCCACAAGTAGCCCTCATCACCCTATTTTCAGTAGGGCTCTATGGAACTTGCTCAGGCCACCTGGCCAGTGGGAGTGAAGGGATTGCAGGGCTAGTTGGATTCCAAAGCTCCAATTTCCTTCAGTGTCACTGCCGGTGGCACCCAGTTGATGTCAACCCACAGGGACCCTGCATGGTCATCGCCAGGCCCCTTTCCCACAGACCCAGTGGGAGAGGTGGGGGTGTTTCAAACTGTCAGCTCTCCAGTGAGTGGCTAAGCGCTTAGGCCATGTGCCACCAGGCCCTCAGACCTCCACCGTCTCTCCTGGCCTCTCTCCTCAGCAGACTGGTTCTGACCGGAAGAAGCCCCTGTGCCTGCACCAGGGGGTGGGAGGCCCATGTGCTTGGAGAGGCCCAGGCTCGGCAGGCTCTGTCCCCAGGAGGCGTCCCTTAGCTGGGGCTGCCTTTTCCTTACCACTTCCCCCTTTCCTGATGCCCTAAGATCTGGCTTGCCCGACTTCCTACCCCAATTACATGCCCCGCCTGACTTTTCCCCCACAAAAGGACAAGACTAAATCAACCAGTCACAGAAAGGACTCTCCTGTTCCCTTGTTCTTCCGGGCCCTCAAGTCACCGTGGTCAGAACTGCTCTGGCCTCAACCAGGTCAGTGAACCCCACTACCCTCAGGGCTTCTAGAGAGCACATGGTGACAGGGCTCTGTGGACGAGTAGTGATTGGAGAAGGCTTTGCTTCTGGTACCAGGTGGAGGTGTGCGGCAGTTCCCGAGTCAGCCTCGTGTTAGACCCACGTGAGCACCGTGGCTACTCCTGCCAAGGGGCTCGGCCGAAGCTGGCTTCAGAATCCCTCACACAGAGCCTGGTGAGCCTGGGTGTCTTGCTGCCAACCCAGGGCCTCGGCTGGGGCAGCCCACATGTGTGTGTGCATGCTTGCGTGTGCGTACACGAATGTGTGGGGGCCGGGGGCAGGCATTTCCCAGTGGCTCTTGCTGTCAAGCAGCTTGACTGCGTGATGAGCCCTCCCCCTACATGCTGGACACTGCCTCTCCTCTGATGGAGCCCCAAGGCAAGGGTGAGGGGAGACAGAGGACAGAAAAGGCTGGGCCTGTGGGCGGGGAAAGGAAGGAGTGTGGGCAGACTGAAGGGTCAACTTTGTCGTTTACGACTGTGCGACCCATGCACATGCACCCATGCAAAGGCCACAGTAGATGCCACGACCACAGGGGAGTGCCAGCGAGACCGCTAGTCACTACTCAGTAACAGGACCCAGGCACACAGTGCCTTGTCAGGGCCTGGCACCAGCTATCAGACCACCCCTTGCAGCGCACTGGTATCCATTGTGACTCAGCCCACAAGGGACCGGGGGCACAGGAGGCTCACCTGGACTGCTGAGATAGTCCCTCAAACTTGTTTGCCATTTTGGTGGAAGATGATGGTCCCACATCGTTCCCTACAAGGCAAATTAAACGCAGTGATTAGCATCTCCAAATAGGGAAGGTGCCGGGGGGTGTGGGTGCGGGTCTGACAAAGGGCAGGGCGAACTCTGGTTTCAGAGAGGCATCTAAGGACCAACCCCGCCATCAATCCATCATCAAAACCCCGCACAGCACACCTCTCTCTGGGGCTCTGACCACGTGCTCACTGCTATGGAGTGACTTGTCAGACAAGGTAGGTGGGCAGCGGGCTCCTGGAGCTGGGATGCCCAGATGCCAGGCCCCCAACGCTGTCCCAATGACTCAGGATCTGCTTCTTAGCATTGGGGCAGACGAGTAAAGTTTCAAGTCCACTCAGAGTTTCCCATGCCAGGAACCTTCCTCTAGAAGAAACATACCGCTCATGATGAGACTTTGTCTGTGTGTGTATATATGCACGCACTTACGCATGCGCACACATACTACTTAGCAGGGTGTTAGCACGCACGCATATGTACACATACTACTTAGCAGGGTGTTAACATAGGCATCCTAGCCTCTGGTCATGTGACCAGGAGAGAGAAGTCTTTGCATAAGAACACCGTGTTTGGTGATGCAGAGTCAGTGAAAAAGAGGAAGGCCCTTGGCGAGATAGAGGGATACAGTGGCTTCAACAATGGGCTCAAATCTAACAATGCTTATGCTGACGGGACAGGACCGGGCAGGGCTCCCTCGGCGCCTACCAGGTCACTGTCACTTTGAGTTTGAACTCACTTGATGGTACCTATCAATGACAGTGTGGGTCATCTCAGCTACTTAGCCACCACTTGTTCACTCTAACATGAATGTCTATTCTGCATCTACTGGGGGTGCTGTGTGAACCGCCCTCACTGTTCCCACCTAGTTTCCTCCCCCACTCCCCGCTGAAGATGAAACCGCTGCCTACTCTAAGAGGTGTCCTCCTCAGAGGGAAACGGAGCACATCCACAGGGAAGATGGCCCTGAGAAGGCAGAGGAAGAAGCTGCAGAGACGGTCCTAGAGACCCAGCAAGACTGAAGGCTGCCAACAACCTCTGGCAGCTAGGGAGAGACATGCCAGGATCTCCTAAAGCCTTTGAGGGCACGTGGCCCCTCACCAGGACAGTGGGCTGTGCCTACAGATCGGCGAGAATATATCTTTGTTGCTTTTAAGCCACTCAGGGCCCACGTGGCATTCCCTGAAACCTGCAGGGCACAGCTGCCCCTCAGAATCCTGCCCAGAAGCAAGACTGTAAGTGACTGTCACATGATAGATCTGCCTGGGAGCTTTCCCTTGGGTCCTTGCTATCCCACCCTCTCTGTGGTCCCCTGGAGTCATGAGCTCAGGCTTTGCTCTTCATTACCCACCACCCCACCCTAAGAGCCCAACATACCCACGCCCTGAGGAAGACACTCCGATAGCTAGCCTATTCTGATGAGTTGGGTCAAAGAGTGTCCTTTAAACCCGGGGGCTTCAGAGGTTCGTGGGAAACAGATAAGAGGCCAAGGAACCACTGACCAGGGAAGCGAACAGCCTTGCTTTCAGACAGAGTGCATTAGAAAGCAGCTCATGCAGATGTAATTAGGTTTAAATTCCACATCTTATCGTTTGTTCTCCCTTTGACCCACTTTAAGTTTGCTCTAGTTTTTATTATTTTCTGCTTTCTTTTCAATTGAGATTTTTTTTTTTGGGGGGGGGTTGTTCTTGATATGAAATCCAGGATAGGTACATCTATAGAGGCAGTAACCAGGCTAATAATTTCTTAGGGTTATGGCAGGGGAGGTTGGGAGAAATGGGAACTAATGATGAGTACAAGAAAGAGGACAATGTTGTGTAACTGACTGAAGTGATGCTGGGGCATCTCTTTTGATATGTTCAACCACTGACTGACATGTGAATTACAAGTCAATAAAACTGTTAAAACGATTAAAAAGAAGAGGTCAAGGAACTTGCCCAAGGTCAAGTAGCTGGTAAGGTCACAGTTGGGCCAGAAGTGGAGGGGTCACTTCACCCCTTCACATCCCCCACCTGCTCAAAGCAGGGCACAGGGCGCCCACCTCTGCCCTGGACTGAACTTTCTACAACTCTAGGAACACTGATGCCGAGAGGCAAACAGCCAGATGGAGTCACCAGGGCCAAGGAGTGCAAGTTCAGTTTTGCTTAATTGTAGTGAGCTGTCCCTTCTAGCCACTGACACATTGGACAGAGTCTGGAGCAGTATCTGATCAACATCGGGACTGGCCAAGCTCCCCCGACAGCAGCATTTCTCCCCAGCCCCACACTCATTGCCCATCTGGCTCTCAGACTTCACATTTTCACACTAAACTGAGCTCTAACTCAAACCAAACCCCTGCCACCGAGTCCAGTCCAACGCCCAGTGGCTATCCTTGTGGAAGCAGCCTGCCTCATCCTTCTCCTGTAGGGAATATGGTGGATTCAAGCCAACCTTGCAGTTGACAGCTGAGTGCTTAACTACTGCACCACCAGGGTTCCTTGGAATGAGCCTTAACGGAAAGTCAAAGGAATAAAAAAAAGTCAAAGGAACTTCTGGGGTTGGGGTTAAACCACTGCACCTGCCAATGCCCCTTCGTGCTAGAAAGCAAGTCAGTCTTGACCGAGTCACACAGTAGACTGAACACGAGGCCTAGAGGTCACCAAAGCCTGCTGCTAGATGTGCCAAGGCTGTGGTCCCCTGCCCAAAGTCTTGGTTTGACATTGGAAGATTAAGCACTGGCCTGCTAACTATAAGGTCGACGGTTCAAAGCCCACTAGCTCCTCTGCAGAGAACCACCCCGCCTGTTCCTGTGGAGACATACAGCCTCAGAAACCCTACACAGCGTCACTATGAGTGACAGTGACTTGAGGGCAATGGGGTTCCTCCAGCCACTTGAGACACCTCTTTTCTGCCACAACCCTTGTGTGTCTGTATGGCCGCCTGTCCCCTCCCACTCCGGGGGGAGCCCCTTGTGGTTCTTTTCAGACCACCTCCAAAATTTCTTCCCGGCGGGGGCCTGATCAGCGTGCATTGACCTCCAGCTCTGCCTGGACCAGCATCTGGGATGCGGTTGGGACGAAGCTTCAGGTCCTTCATCGCTGGGCGTGGAGGGTGGGGGCTAGTAGAGAGGCTCTGGGTGCCCAGAAGACGGTGACGGTCACTCTCAGCTCTGAGAGGGTGGCAGACACGGCAAGGTTGGGAGCTCCTTAGAGGCAGAGACATTGCCTACTCACTTTTGAAACCCATTTCTGCACCTGACGTCAGGCCTCGAGCTGATACTTGCAGGCCAGGAGCAGCTGCAGAGCCGACGTGTGTGTGTGTGTGTGTGTGTGTGTGTGTGTGTGTGTTTCTCTCTCTCCTGAGCTCTGTAACCATGTCCGAACCACCTTCAGTCCCAGAGACAGAGGTAAGGCCACCAGTGATTTCCAAAAGGTCACTGGGCTGGACCTGGATGAGAACATGGGCCAGAGTGGGTGGTTTCTCACCACCCCTCTCAGGACACATGCCAGGGCAGCCAGGGTGCCCTCAGTGCTAACTGCGAGTCTCAAGGGTTTGAACAGCCCATCCCTCGGCAGCTGGGGGAGAGGCAGCTGTTAGTCAGACCCGGGCACCACCCGCAGCAGTGGCCTGCCCTTCTCTCACGTGGCTCCCCTTCCTCACCTGTCCCCAGTGCCTTAGAGGCTTTACTTTGAATTGTTTTAAAATGTGCCTTGGTCTGTTATGAGGCAGATTATAAGTAACATCCCCCAAAGCGAGGTTGACTGAATGCCGTTTCAACATCCAGAAGTCCCCATGCAAAGCCAGCAGGGGACCCGGCGGTCCTGAGATGAGGGCAGATTTGTCACAGTGACAGGACTGCAGCAGGGCAAGGCCGGGCTCTCGGGGCACATGGACACCGTGGTTCTGGTGGGAGAAGTGCACAGCATCCCCCCTAGTCTGACTCAGGGTGTCCCGGGGGAGTGGGCGCAGGGAGGAGTGGTTGATGGGTTGGCTCAGGTGTCTCCTGCATGCAGGTGTGGTCAGGTGTGAGGCTCTCCGAGGTGTTCGCAGTGCCCAGAGCTTGAGCTTGTGACTCTACCTTTCTGAATCCCTGGGTCCTCCTTAAAGTCGAAGATGCACGGTGCCCCAAACACCTCACACTCAGCGAGAAGCCACAGATGCCAGAGCTCAGCCACCTGGTCTCCTGACGGCGAAGCCGCTTCTGGGATTTGAGCCACCACTCTGCTGCCCCCTTACGCAGCCTCGGAGAACCTAACTTTCAAGTTGATGGCCACCCCACCACCTTGAAAACAATGTTGATGGCAGCCAGTGTCTGTGTGAGCACCCTGAGGCCTGGCCCCGAGCATAGAGTGTGGCCTCGTTCCAGCCCTCGGAGGACAATGTGGCCGCCTGTCACCAGCCCCAGTTTATAGCTGGACAATCAGAGAATACTTGCTGAATGCTACAGAGCTACCCAGGGGCAGAGAGGGGGTTATGATCCAGGCAGCTGGGCCCCTGGAAGTTCCTTGCTCTACAACAGAGAAATGGCACGTGGCCGTGTGGAGTCCACTGCACAGGGAAGGGCACAGAGAACCACTGAGACCAGCCTCACACCAGGGGCAGAGTCCTCAGAAGGAAGATGAGTGGAGGGCACACAGGCCGGGCATCCGGCATACCTCACGCTGACAGCCATGTGTTCCTGGGTGGACAGTGAGACCTGGAATACCAGACGCTGTCCCTCCCTGATCCTGGCAGGCTTGGGGGCGGGGAGAACACTGGACAGAGGGGGTCCAGGTGCACCACCACCCGTCTCTGTGACAGGGTCAGCAGGAGACAGGGAGGGCATCCAGCAGTGGTGAGAGCCCAGGAATGGGGAGGGCATTAGGGGACCGAGGCGGTTGAGTGCCCCGGTGTAAGCAGCCTGAAGCGGCTGGAGGAGCGGGCTCTGTGGTACACGGCGGGTAACCGCCCCGGGTGCTGCGGGGGAGCATGATCTCCCATCCTCCCGACACCGTGGAGCAATACCCACCACAGCGAGCTGCTGCCTTACAGGATGGTCTCTGACATGCTTAGCACGGTGCCTGGTGCATGGGAGCATCCAGCCCTCAGAAAGAGTTTTGATGGTCCTAAATATCTTTCTAAAAAACCCTTGGCCTGCTAAGGCGGGCACATCCTCCTCCTCTGCCTCTGCGCCTCGCCTGCCCACTGCCCCGTGGAGCCCATGCCCTGCCTGGCCCCAGGCAGCGTGGCCCTGGCTTCAGGATAACTTACCCCAAGGAACTGCGCCTTTGTTTGGGGGCCCGTGAGGTAGTGGGCTGGGAGGGTCAGACAGGGTTCTCTTGTGTCCGGGTGGTGGGGGAGGAGGCCTCTTCTTGGACAGGGTGGAGCTGCCACTAGAGGTCTGGGAGCTTAGAGGGAGTGTTGAAGGTGGGCCGGTTGGACCTAGAAAGGAATCGATGGGGCAGGAAGGTTAATCCCGGTCTGGCAGACCCGGCACAGCTAGAAGGCAATGATGCCCACGCAGAGGGTGGCGCCAGGAAGCCAAAAGGGCCGGGCACGGCAGGTCCCAGCCACCCAGAAACTTATTCGTTCGGGCTTTAGCACTGCTTGTTTAGAAAACGAAACAAAACACCACAGCAAACCAGTTTACGACAAAGGAAAGGACAGCATGTGCCAGTCAACACAGGGTTAACGGGTGCCAGTCGTCCGTCATCTGGGGACACTGGGGAAATAACCATACACCTTAAAGCAAGGACTGACTGGGGTCCCCACAACCTTCTGTGGGGGAGGAAGGCAGGCGGCATGCCAGCCACATCACAGTGGAGCGCGGAGGCGGGCCATGCAGAAGGGCCGTCTCTCACTAAACAATGGTGTCCTTTAAATTTTAAAGTAAAGGGATTTTGGAAGTTGGGGAAAAAAAGAACTTTTGTCAATGATAAATGGTTGCATGTGAACATTACCTAGGAAAGAGAGAAAGCAAAGGCTTTTCCCGCCCACTAATTCTGCGTTGTTCTAGGAATCACTAACACCTATTCAATTTGGGCAGGTTCCCAAACGTACTTGGCCTGCTGTCTCAGAAAAAGAAAAAAGGACCCTGCGCCTGCCCCGTGACTGAGAACTTTAGTACTGTCGCCGTAACCCAGGATAGCGTGCAAGCAGCCTCCCCGCTACTTCCGCCTCCGTCATCTCAGCTCCCTCACCCCTTTCCAGGGGATAGTGCCACCCACTTTGGGAAAATGTTATATGCAACTTAAACACTGATTTCTTAAGACTAAAAAAATTTGCTTTTTCCTGAGGTAATAACAGGAGAGAAGAAAATGAAAATCCTGCCAGAAGAAGGTGGCAATTTTGAACTTGGGGGAAAACGAAAAAGGGAATTTGTTTTTCATGTTGGGCAACTGGAGCAGGACAAGGGATGCGAGTTTTTTTTACCCGAGGTGGCCCTGAGTGGGCTGGGCCAACCACTCTGTGGTGGCCACTGCCAAGCATCTCTCTCTAAAATGCCATCGGCCTGTGGCTGACAGTCTCTCTGCCCACAGGAAAGAGAAGGGACTGGGGGCGAGGGGCACGAAACAAACGCCGAGAACACCGCACGACAAGCGTTCACCATGGGAGAGGGAGTACCTGTTGGTCCCGAAAGGCTCCAAAAGAGCTTTCTACATTCTGTGTAAAAGAAAAGTTCAATTACCGCCAGCCTCCACGACTGACGACAGTCTTCACCATGCCCCATGGCCCATTCTAGTAAGATCAACAAACATCATCACTGCTTTGCCCCAATACTCCTTCCTCGGAGATGGTCTGGGTTTTCCGAGTTGAGCCGACTCACGTCAGTAGAGGGTTACAAGGCCACCGTCTTACAGCGAGATACCTGACGGAAGCCTTGTCGGCACCCCAAACCAATGCCCGCCCTGTCACGGAGGCCGCCTGACAGGAACGTCTCCCAGTGTGTTCCCCAGGCCTGGTCCTCTGGATCTGCCTACCAGGCCTATGGGCATGGGGTAGGTGATCAGGGCTTGCTATGACACAGATCACTCAGGGGCACTGGGCAGCAGGTCTCCTGCAGCGTGAGGTGGCACCCATCACCTGGCGACGCTGCTCCCGAGAGCCAGCATAGCATTTCCTGTGCCTGGCATGCGAGAACAAGCACAACAAGTGCTCAGTATTAGGAAGTGCAAGTTTCCTCTGGCAAATCAATGGATAATAGACAAAGGGGAGAGTCTCTCGAAGCTTCATCTTGATCGCCACCTAGGGGCTTTTCTGAGGCAGTACCTCTGAACGCTCATTCAATCGCCTTCCAAGTGCAGCCTGGAGACAAACACAGAAAAGGCAAAATGCTAATGGAAAGACGGCTATGAGCGTGCATGCATGTGTGCGGGTCCAACCGTAAGTAAGATAATCGGCCCCAGGGGTGATGACATGGCTGCTCTGTCATCATTCTCCAAGCAAAATCCAGCCTCCAGGCGCCACTGACAAATTGAAGGGGTGTGTGCTCCACAGGCCAATGACATGTGCCTTCCTGCCGTCACCTCCCAGGTGACAGCCTCCTAGGGGTTCACTGCCTGCAAGCCTGCTGGAGGGCAGGTGCGACTGGGCCAGGCTTTTCTCTGGTTGGTGCAGTGTGGGCATCTATTGAATAACCCCCACACTCATAGGTTTTGGTGGCTGGCAATTCAAGGAGAAAGGGTGTGGCTCTCTTAGAGCAAAACCTAGTGGTCACGGGGGGTGGGGGTGGGGTCGGAGGCGGGGGCAGTGGAACAGCCAACACGATGATGTAACTCCACGTTCAGAAAACAGATGCACAAAAGTAGGCTGTTTGGGAACAGAAGCAACAGAACGGAGGTGCTGCCGAAGCAAGCCCACGAGTTTCCACAGCACTAGGTTAAGAAGGCTGAGGAGGCCTGGACTGGACCCCAGGACAGACGGCAGACTTGAGTGTTTTGGGCTTCCAGAGTGTAGAAGGCTTCCGAAAAGAGCCCCCAGGTCTCTGACCCTGCCAGGGATGCTCAGTGCAAGAGGAATCCGAGTGCTGTCTGGCCAGCGTGCAGGGAGGGACAGGGAGGCAGAGGCAGCACAGGAGGTGACCTGGGGCAGCTCATTCTCTCCTGTTAACTCAGCCAAGGGCCTGCGGAGGGAAGGAGAGCTCGCCTCAAACCTCCTGGGCACCTCTCTTGTGGACACTCCACCTGTCACACAAGCTTCTATTTCTTTTCTTTAAAACTCGGCCCAGGCTCCCACAGCTGCTGTAAGTAACTCTGCGGCCTGGGTAAAGTAAAAGGCCTCTGAGTCTTCCCGAGGTGATGTTGTGAGAGCCTCAGCTGCACTCATGCAGAGAGCACGTCTTTGTGGGGTCCCCTCTCCCACCCCTAAAGCAGTGCTGGTCCAACTGACCTGCATGCCTACAGGGGTAGAGGGAGCCACAGGCTATTTTTGGTAAAAAACAAAACCAAAAAACACAAAAAGGGAATATTCTTTATTTGGGAAGGGATTTACAAAACTCTTACAAATAGTTCCTTGGCTAGTGTGTGCTATAGATTATTGGCTCTTTATAAGCAGCTTTAAATCATGTTGAGAGTTATAGGAATTCCAAGGCAGGCGAACTGTGAGGAGCGACATCTCTTCCCCTATGTACTTGTGCATGCATCTGCTAAGCTCGGGGGGTTCTGGGGTTAGCGTGGCTGCTAGTCACAAAGGCAGTGGCTTGAACACCCATGGAAGCTCCGAGGGACAAAGTCCTGGTGTAAAGCGGGGGTCCAGGAAGCCGTATGGGGCAGTGTCTGACTCTCACATGGGTGTTGCTAGGGACTGAAGTAGACATGAGGGCACCCAATAATCATCTTCTCCTGGGGTGCACACTCATTCTTGTATTTGCCATAGTTACACTGAGGGGCTGGTGTGGTGGTTACACGTTGGGCTGCAATCAGCATGGTCAGCAGTTCAAAACCACCAGCAGGTCTGTAGGAGAAAAGACTGGGCTTTCTACTCCTATAGTTAGTTAGTTTCAGGAGCCCACAGGGGGTGCGGGGGCCACTATGAGTCAGCACTACCTCAAGGCAGAGAGGGCGTGAGTACAGTCACTTCTGGGAGTGGGGGTGGGGGCCCTACAAGCTGCTCTGATGACATGGTGGCCCTGTCATTTCCGAGGCACCCACGAGCCTCTCTGCCTGCCAGGTACTAAGCTGGGCACTCTGGATGAGGCTGATGTGGGGGCACTTCCTGCCCCTGTGGCTCCCCCTCCCTTCTCGGGTTCCCTCAGGGTCTCCTCCACCTTCTGCTCTCCTGCCCCCACTTCCTGCCCTGCCCTTTGCCCTGCCACCTCCAGGGCTCTTGTCCCTCAATTCCCAGGGCCTCTTGGCCACCCCATGTGGACATTCTGCTGGTGTCTTCAACTCTGGGGGCCCCACCTGAACCTGCTCCAGCACAAAGGGCCACAGAGTGCCTGTGATGGAAAATTACCTCGCAGAGGAGCCCCCAGAGGGCGCCAGAGCCCAGGAAGCCTACCTCCTGTCGGCAGGCTGGGTCTCTGGGCACCGTGTATACCCGGCAGCCCAGAGCCCTGCACACCCTTCAGGGGCACTCAGGGAGCAATACTCCATCACTAGTCACTCTGGAAGCACCTCGAGCTCAGACCCCAGAGCTGGTGGGAAGTCTCAGCAGACAGGACCTGCTCATGGAGCTCAGGAAAAGGCCCCTTTCTGGAAAACCACTCACCCATATTGAAGTAGAAACATTTCTAAAGGCCCATTCATAGACTCACAGCCCCATGCTTCCCAGCCTCCTCTCCCATTCTTGGACTCCAGAATGGGAGTCCCAGCTTCCTGTGCATGGCAGCGAGAACCCTTACAGCATCAGCACTGCCATCCCGTTTTCCGAGTAAAGACTCCCTGGAGAGCACAGGTGAGGGGGGAGGGAGGTGGCCAAAGGCACACTCACTCTTTCTGTGGACGGCACCAGGTGTCCCCGTGCAAAGAACCAGACAGAACTTGCCTCTCCCTCTGCACTCTCATCTGTTGAGGAGCAGCGCAAATGGAAACTTGCCTCTAATCCATTTTCTCCGCCGGAGGGAACTGCTCCTACCCCAACAAGGCTACTGGCCCTGGCCATTTTCCTCCCTTACTCAGACATCTGCTCTCTCTTCCTTCCCACAGGGTGAGGCACGCCCGCGCTCCCAGGGCCGGGGAGTGAAGGCATTCACGGTTCCATAACAGACCCCTTTCTCGTCAGTGTCAGGTTTCCAGGAGAGCAGGGATCCCAGGGCTCAAATATCCCACTAACCCCCAAACAAAGTACCGGACCTAAAAGACAGTTTAAAACTATTGTTGAAGTGTTGGGAAGACCTGCCTTTAAATTATTATTTACATATGTGAAGATGCCACAAGTGAGGGGCAGGGAACGAACTCACAGCCACCCAGCTCTGACCAACACCACAGGAAGGCCCACCTTCTCCTGACAGTTTTCATAACACAGAACTTGAGAGTAGCGCGTTTAAATCATTTACTTTAAAAATGTAGTTAAAGAGAGGTCTGGATATAGACATAAAGCAGGCCCTACGTGTGGAGGAGGAGCCCTCGTGGCGTCGTGGTTATCGACTTGAACTGCTAACCACAAGGTCCGTAGTTTGAAGCCACCAAGCTGATCCTTGGGAAAAAGATGGGGCTTTCTACTCCTGTAAAGAGCGACCGTCTTGGAAACCCTCAGGGACAGTTCTACCGTGTCCTGCAGGGTCGCTATGAGATGGCACTGACTCGACTCAATCACAGTGAGTTTGTTTTTTTTTAATATGTGGAGGAAGAAGCTCAGGTGTACTGGTCTGCCAGGGCCCCAGTGGGCCCATTCTCCACAGGAAACTGGTCTTCAATCTCCTCCAAGGGCACAGACAAGGGCAAGCCCCAGGATTCAGCATGCTGGCCTTTGATCGAAGTTCTACTGGTTCCCTTCATGGCCCTGACCCCGGCGTCAGAGACCTAGTCACCATGACCTCAGGTCAGTGGTCACCAAGGTGGCCAGTGCAAAGTAACTCCTGTGGAAGGATTTACACACTGCCCCTCCAATAAAGGAAAAAACAGTACCCAACATGAGTCAAAGAAGCCAGCCAACGGAATGCTTTACGGCTGCATTCCCATGAGATGAAAAGAAAGCTGTCTGGTCATTAATCTAAGAACTACGCTGTGGACAGGGGAAAACGTTGGTGGGAAGATTGGAATGTTTCCATGACCTTCTGGAGGCCTCCGTCTAAATGTTCTGTCACAGGCCAAGGATGTTGCCTCCTTCCACACCACTCTCACCTCCTCTAACGACCGCCACAGGTCTCATGGGACAGTGGGAAAGGTGAGGTGGGAGTGTGCCCACACTGTGTCTGGCCGTTAAGGGCTGAGGACATCTTGCCAAAGAACCTCCAGCAGGTCAGCTAGCACACGCAGAACGTCTGTGTGCTGCCCACGCCTGGGCGGCTGGTTTAGTTTCCGGACTGACCTCCTCCCTCCGGCTCTGCTGTCAGCTGTGTCCAGGGACTGGGCTGCGCACCTTTCTGCCAGGGCTGCAGAGACAGCTCTTTCTTCCTTGGGCCAGGCACAAGAGGGGAGACGCCGGGGCCCTCTTTAGTCTGAGAGAGACCTCTCCTCATGTGCTCCAGCAGCAACCCTACGGGCTCCTTCCAGCACATTCCACCACCCTCTTACCGATGAGAGAGCAAGCTCCCTTCTGGGTGCTGAGAATACTGATGGGCCTGAATGCACGCAGGAGGCTGACCACACTACTCACACTGACCGAGTCACCTGAGAGGCAGCACTTCCTGTTCTCTCAACAGGGACCCAGCAAGCGGACACAGCGCCTCATTTCCCTGGGAGCCTGGGGTAAATGTTAAGCGGAGATAAGAACAGGATCAAGACTGGTCGTTACAGGGGCAGGCACCACACTCTCCTTGGTGGGGCAATGGGAAGGGGAGAAGGCAAAGTCCCAGAGGCCCCGGGGGTTCTCAGCGACCCAGGAGGTCGCTGTCGGATGTGCCCCCTCAGAGTCTCAGGTGCTGGCCTCTGACCGAGATGAGGGCGCTCAGTCTCATCCCCATGCTCCCCTCCGCCTAGCTGCCCTCCGGGAGGCTCAGCAGGCTGGGCTGCTTTGTGCTGATGACACGCCATTACGAGCCCAAGTCTGCTGTGGGAAGTCCGTGTGACAGAAGGCAGCTAGGGAACACGGGCGAACACGAGGCATCGCTGTGGCACCTACTGGGGAACACACAGCACCTTCAGTGGTCATAGGGACCCCTGAGCCAGCAGATGGAGGTGAAGTGCAGCCAGCGTGTCACGCTCACATTTCTTGAGTGTGTGTGCACACGCCCACCGAGGGAGGCTCATAGCCTCCCGGAGTCTGACTGCCCCTCTCACGAAGCACGCCATTTCCTGGGGTGGGGGTGCCTGCCACGTGCCGGGACCCATTGCTCAGAGACCCTGCGAGTGAGGCTGGTTTGGGTGCTGTCCCTCTGGCCCTACACCAGGAGGGCTGTTTCTGAAATCCCAGGAGCTGGGTGGCACTGGGTCTCCTCTGTGAGCTCTGCTGCGGGGCTGGGCTGGGCGATGCGTTTCACTTCACTTCCATGCCAACCGCACGAACAGGCAACTCTGCCACCACTGCCACAACATGCTGTGAAGGCAGAGCGCCCTCTTCCTTTCCGTGGCTGTACACTACTGAAACACAGCTGAGTTACACGAACACGTGAGCCCAGCACAGCAAGCAGCCTCTGTGTGATGAGCTTCCTCTGGGCTACAGAAAACCTGTTCCACGCCAGCGCTTTAGCTTCAAGGTTAAAAATAAAGCACACTGGGCAACTCTGGGGAAAGGTCGACGCTGCGAACTGTGAGGGAGCTCTTCTAGAGTTTCCATGTCTGGAGCCTCCCACGTGTCCGAGGGAGGTGCAGGACGTTGAGGCCTGGATCAGCAGGCTCGTGCTTCCCTGAGTCATGAACCGCAGCGCTGGGCCAGCACACCCTTCAATCTCCCGAGGCTCCCGCAGCTTCCAGAAAGGCTTTCTGTGCTGGCTTCGGAAGCATTCTACGGCCTTGCTTTGTACCCTCACATCGCAGCCTGACCAGCTTGGTCCTGAGAGCCTGTTTCCACCTCAGCATCTGGACTCCTACTGGCCCCCGGGGTGGTCATGGCTTCTGGGGCGATGACCTCAGTGGCATGTGCCTGGAGAATGGGCCACCCAGGGCCACCAAGACATCATTGTTTCCATGCACCTGGTCACCAGCTCAACAAGAACGGAGTGGGGAGGGGTGCCCAGCAGAGGCGAATTCTCCTTTCATGGAGATACCTGCCGGTCCGCAGCATCTCCCGAGAACACCCTCATGCCAGCACGTCTGTTCTCCCATTCAGCCAGAGGCTGCCTCTCATGTCACAAGAAGGGGGCTCTTCCCGGCTCCCCACAGCCACATCACCTCCGCCCCTAAAGCCCTGCCTCGGATGGTCAGAAGGACACAGGGATTCATCTGGACGTTGGTGTTGGGCGCTCCCGGGGAGCAGGCTAGGGGGTGGGCCTCATTGTCTGTCCTTAACTGACCAAGGCTGCCAACGCCAGCTCTCGGAGCGCCATCCTGGCATCTGGGTCACTCAGTAATCTGGCCTTTGTCTCTGGGCTTTTGGAGAGAGTTCGGTTCAAACTCAGGAGGAACATGCTTGGCACGGGTCCAACAGCCTGTTTTAAGGGTTCCTGTGCGCCTTTGAAATGAAATCACCAAGGGGGTTTTGGGGGGTGACCAGCAGACTCCATCCAGCTGCTCAATGACCTGGAGACGCTCCACAGGTACAGGTCTTGCTTGTCTCCGCTGGAAACAACAATTACAGAATCTTGCAGCATGGCATCAATTGTTTTCTTTGGTCTGGGGAGTCCCTTAGTCTCTTGTGGGAGCAGAGGTCCCCCCTCCATCGGGTGCCCCATCCCCAGCAAGGGAAGTGGCAGTTCAGCCCTCCTTTCCGCAGAGCTGCCCATCAGGTGGCCATGGCCCTGCTCCACCTGCAGAAGGGGGGCAGTCCAACTTGGGGTACCTCACTGGCTCCCCTGGCCCACTACAGTTAGGCTACTGGCATATCCGGGAGGGTGATGGTTGCTACCTAAGCCTTTCACTGCCCTGGAGCCTACCATCTCTGAGGCCGTCTGGGGCCTCCCAGAGAACACTGTTTCTATTTATAACCCAGTCTCAATGGAGAAGCAGCTCTGAAAAAACAGTTTTGAATAAAGCTCACATTCCCAGAGAATAAGCCCAGTGTGAGTCCACTCGGCTTGGAGCCCTGCATCCCACTCACGGGAGGGGCCGCACTCTGAGCGACAGCCTGGGCCCTCTTGGCCTCCCCCGCCGAGAGGACCTTCTCTGGGGTGTTGCAGGGCCTCGGCTGCCCTGCACGGTGGTGACAGGCTGACTCCCTGGGCAGGGCCTGCACTGTGGACGGGGCTCCTCCTTAGGAGGGTGCAGATGCCTACCGGGGGGTTCTGGGTAAGCACTTTCCTGAGGGGTGCTCACAGGAGGGGTGTAGGCGGGCTCTGGTCATGAGGCACCAAGCGAGAACACCGGGTGGCCAAGAACTGTGGCAGATCACACAACCCTACCCCGTGCCCCACTGTGCACCACGCCTGTGACCCGTGTGCCTTCCCCGTGACACGACCAGTGCTTGGTTGGGGCCCCTCACAAAGCACGTGCTTCCTGGCCGTGACAGTGTCACCGCTGTCTGTGCAGGTGGCACCCAGAGCCCAAGAAGGTAACCCTTCTACGGCCAAGGACCCCACCACCCTCACGGCACAGCAGAGGCTGGCTCTGGGGCTGAGCCCACCTGGGTCAAATTGTGACAGCCACGCACCAACTACATGACCTGGGGGAGGGCAGTCTACCTCATTTCCTCATCTGTAAGATGGGCACAGAGCCCCCATCCATCTCACACTCCTGCTGGGAGGCTGACCCACTCAAGTTGTGGCTCAAGGGCCGAGTGCTCAGCACAGTGCCTGCCAGGCCCCTGCCCCAAGCTGCCACGACATCACATAAGCTCTGCCACTCAGAGGTGGCTTGCCACGCTTACCCTGAAGCCGAGTAGGCGCCAGCTTTGAGGATGGAGTTGCCAAGCGCGTACCTTTGCCTGCGTTTCTCGGAGGCAGTGGAGGTGCCTCTGAGGTTGGCGACGTGGGTGAGTCCGTGCTTGTGGAGGCGAAGATCTGGTTGGTGAAGGCGCCGTAGGAGAGCCGCTGCTTGTCCCTTGGCGTGCCGAAGCCCGGCAGGGACAGCTTGTCCTGCGGGGAGATGCTCGACGAGTGGCAGAAGCTCTGGGGCCGCGGGGAGCGCTCCTTCTTGATGGGGCTCGGCTGGTGGGAAACAGCATGAACTCAGCCAGGGTCACAGCTCAGGGGGTGGGGGCCTCGGCGGTGGGCTGGTCATCGGGGTCAGCCATGGCCCCGAGGAGGGCTGCAGGCCAGGGGTACACTGGGGGACACTAGGCAGGGCTCAGCAGCAGCATTCACAAAGGCATGGCCTCACACAGGCCTCACATGTGAGAGACACCGTCCCACTTGGGGAGTCCAAGTGACATTCCTGCTCACCCTACAGTGTCCAAGCTTAGTCCCAACTCCATTTCACTCAGCCCCCGCCCTGAAAGTAAACCCATCCTCTCGCAGCTTCCCAGGCAGACCACCCACCACATCCGTACACTGGGACCTCTGATGAAGAGTCTCAGGTCCATGGCACCCCATCCACCCGCCCTCGTCTCCTCTCTCAGCCTGCAGGTGGGGAACTCGGCAGTGACCCACAAACCCACTCCTTGTTCAGGTACTTACCCCCAACCTTGGGAACATCCTCCCTCCCAGCCCCTCTCCACCCGACAGCCAGAGCTGGTAGGAAATGGGGCTCTCTCCCCCAACAATAAACCTCTACTGGCTGGTCCTGCACATGGGCTAGAGGGTGCATATTCTGTGGTAGCCCCCGTCTCTCTCTCAACCCGCATTTCCCCAAATGTCTCCACATTGGGCTTCTAACCCTCAGCTGACTACCCAGCCCACACAGGAACTCCTCCCTTCAGTACATGTGCCAACGCTTCCACGTCTTTGCCTGGCCTGCCTACCCAGCCGCCGAGACCCATCTAGAAAGGCACTTCCCTCACAGATCTCCAGGCCTGCCTTGGACAAGGCGGCTGCTCTGTCCTCTGGACCCCCCCCAGACAGCCGCCAGAGTATAACACTGGGCGGCTGCTGGCTGTGGGAGCCTCCAGTCGGTCTGACTCACAGCGACAGAACAATACTGGGCCACAACATATCACCTCTATGTCATGGCCCTGAGGCATGTCTTTGAGAGGGACCATTGCTCATACTCTGCCTGGCACAGCAGGAGTGCCCCACCACACCCGAGGAGGGCACCACGCCCTTCAGGGCTGCAGGGCCACCTCAGGGAGCTGGACAGAACCGGGCAGATCCCGAGAGCCTGCCTCCCAGTTCACATCGTGAGCGACAGCTGTATTTATATCTGAGGGTGGGCCGTGCTCCGCAGGGACCCAAAGCTGAGCAGGGAGGTCCTGGGAGGTCCCAGGCCGTGGGGACGAGCACCCACCTTGTCGTCCAGGTCATCGTCGCTCTCGTCCATCTCCTCCTGGCGCAGGTTCCACTCGTACTCCACGTGGACGTGGGGGTTGAACTTCCCGCACTTGGCCTGGGAGAGCTGACGGACAACAGGGGTGCCTGGTTTTTCATTCTGACCTTCAACCGCCCCAGCCTGATGTGGACACCGCGAGAGCCCATTGTTCTCGGTGTCAAAGTCACCACACCAACTGCACAGTTGGTAGGCTGGCAAGACAGGCTTTGCGAGGAAGGGCACAGTCACAGGCAGAACTTACTTCGGCAACGTGACTTCCCACTGAAAAGCGGTCTTAACATTAACAAAACCACTCCTACAAGGCCAAGGCCTGGCTGGAAGACAAAGGCAGAGCCAGCGACGTGAAAGAGGTAGACCCGAGACTCGGCTCAGCACAGAGGTGGCCAGCTCACTCAGCGGAAACCCAGGCTGCAGTCACACTCCCCCTCACCCCTTCCTTCGGCCATGAGCAGCTCAAGTCCCAGAGGCAGAAGCAAGAACCACCAGCGACACAAGTTGCCACTGAGTGGATTACAACTCCCCATGACTTCTGTGGTGTGCTTATGGTAGGGCCCTTTCAGAAGCAAGATTGCCAGGCCTTACTTCTGAGGTACCTCTGAGTGGGTGCAGACAGCCAACCTTTCAGTTCAGAGCCACAGACTTACACACCATATGCAAGGCCTACTCGGGTCAAAGGGAGTGGTGTGTGCGGAGTGTGGAGGAGCAGTGGGGTGAACCCTCCGAGCCCATGACCCTCAGCTCTATGGTGTATGGAACCGGGCTCCCAGAGAATTCTTTGCAAGACCTCAGCCCATAAGCCTGTCAAGAAGTCTTTAGCTTCGGGGCCAACCCTGTCCCCCACAGGCAGGTGCACAACATACTGATCAGTCTCCAAACACTGTCCTAGCACTTGTCCAAATGTTTTGGCCAGTGTTTAAAAAACAGAACAATTCCCCAAAAGAGTTTGGTTCTTTGAGCTCCAAGCACAGGGCCCCCGGCCCCACCCCCATGCCTCTCACCAGGTCTTCACACTGCGTGGCCTTCAGCCTCTTGGCTATGTCCAAGGCAGTTTCTCCAGCCTGGTTGACTGAAACGGGAAAGGGGGAGACTGCATTAAGCTGATGATCTGGGGGAGGAACAAGCAGCTCACAACCACCTGCTGGCCCAGGAGGCCTGGGTTTTCATGGCTGCCTGGTGGGCCTGTCCTTACCTGCGTCCACGGTGGGCTTGCTCCTAAGCAGCAGCTTCAGGCACTCAGGCTTCCCGTACAGGCTGCAGTAATGCAGGACGCTGTTGCCCAGGGCCGTTTGCTTGTCCAGGTTCCCACTGGAAAGGCACCACACAAACCCAGAGTCAATCACGAGACCACTTAGGGCCACAGAGGTAGGGACTACTTATTGCTGTACTGCTCAATAAATACAACGGAAAAACGGCCAACTGCAACTATGATGTTCCTGACATTACAACTAAATTCACAGACCACATAATGTGATGAAGTCCAACGCACAGTGATGTTCCAGGGCACCGGAGAACTGCCCTGTGGGGTGTCCAGTCTAGTGTTTAAACGTGCGCCTTCCTTCAACAGGTGTCGTCGTCATGTACTGAGTGCCTTCTCACCACTCGAGGTCAGCGAGGTCAGCCAATAGCTGACCTACAGGGACTGACTTATGTCCCGCAGGGTCCGGTCTTCTAGCTCTCCCACGCAGTAGCGCCTGGCTGAGTAGTGTCACTGCATACACTGCTCTGTTCAGGCCGTTTCTACCTTTGGCTGCGGTAAGTAGTGCTGCAGTGATCCTGGGGGTGCCAAGACTCTGTTTGTCCAGTCTTTGGGGTAAAAACCCAGAGGGAAAATTGCTGGCCAGATGGTAGTTCCTAGTCTTGTGTTTTGACACCCGCGTACTGCCACGTGTTCTGTTAAGAGTTTTACCTGGTCCTTCCTCCATCCGGTCATGCGAGAATTAAGGATTTTATCACGCTGGCTTTCTGTTGAAATGGCAACCTTTTTTACGCTTGCCGCTGCCTTACCAGCTCAGCAATGTTGCTTACACTTCAAACTGAGTACCCACCACCACCTGAATTACCACCACAGCTGGTAGGGATTTTGGATAAATCTTTACTTTCTTCAATGTCTTAAAAAGTGGAAAAATATCATTCTCTTTCAATTTCAGTATTACATACAATTGCTGAAGCCTCTACATACATCGTCCTCCAGTAAGTGTAGCAGTGGCTTACATTAATACACTAACGGGCCGCGAGAAGTTCGTGTTAGAATGGAATGAGAAAATATGAAGAATGTCCACACACGTAAAGATCCCTCGCGTGTCTTCATGGCCTCAAGTTCTGAGCATCTTTTGCTGTCTGCCACCTTGGCTCCTATTAGGAACTCTGTCTCGAACTTGGCATGGCTGTTGGGCAGGGCACACCTACTGCTGATCCACTGGGGAATTCTGGACAAGCAAACTCATGGATCTCTGTGACTTGTATTACTCAAGCATCTCTTCAACCTGTCCGAGAGCAGCAGGTTTCTGAACACTGACCACAGTCTACAATTATCCAGAGGCTGCCTTACCTTTAGTAAATAAAGCTTTATTGGAATACTGCCATGATCATACTGTCTATGGATAACACTGCTGTCCATGGGCAAGAAACTGTCAAGCCTGAAACATTGACTATCTGATTCTTCACCAAGAAAGCTGGTCTGTGCCTGGCCAGGCCCACTGGTAGCCCTTGTACAGGTCCACTTACAGGGCACATTCAGCAGCGCACCCCACAGAGAAGACAGACTCCTACCAGTTTTGTACGAGGAAGTCCACCAGGTGCAGAGAGGTGTGGTCTGCAGTCCGCACTGCCAGGTGAAGAGCCGTTTCCCCTAACTCCTGAAGAGGAGAGGGTAAGTGTACAAAGGTGGGCTGATGCCCGAAGCAGCTTTGTTTACAAAACAAACAACAAATCCCACCACTACCTGGTTGGTTCCTACTCACAGTGACCCCATTCCCAATCTACTGCCATTGGGTGTTTGGACTCAGGGACCCTGAGGTACAGGGCTCTGACACCAGACGTCCTCCCTTTCCTCCTGCACAGAAGTTGGTGGGTTTGAACTGTGGTTAGTATTACCCTGAACAGTGCCCCAGGGTTCTACAGTGACCCTACCAACAGAGCTGAAGGGCTCCAGAGAGTTTCCAAGGCTGTGATCTTTACAGAAGCAGACTGCCTCATATTTCTCCCGAGGAGCAGCGGGTGGGTTTGAACCACCAACCTTTCGGAAAGCAGCCAAACACTTTGACCATTGCATTACATCGGTACGGTACCCCAAAACCATGACTAGCTGTGCACCTCTCCTCCCCTGCCGCGTGGTGCTAGCAGTCTGGAGCCACCCTGAACCATCCCCGCATGCCTCTTCTCTGACGCAGGTGGCCTCACCTGCCCCGGGTCCAGCAGCGGCTCCATGAGCTCCACCCCTTCTGCATAGACTTGAATCAGTGCCAGCAAGTCCCGGGCCTTGACGGCCTCCAGCAGCTGGCTCAGCTTCGCCGAAGAGGAGGAGCAGGTCTTCCTGGAGAACCGGTGGTCGACATACTTGGCAGTGATGTATTCTTTCCGAGCGGTCCTACAACCCAAGCGGACAGGGGTGAGTGATGGGGCCTGCTTTCCAAGAGCTAAGAAAAGTTTACATTGCTTTTGGACCAACATTCTCTCTGATAAAGGAGTTACTTTAGTTAACTGAGACACCCCGTGTCAGCATTCAAACAAAGTAGGTGTGAGCCGGTGTTCCTGTGGAAGCTGTCTGCACTCAGCGTCGTCGGCACAGAGGCGTGCACCTACTACTGGGCTGTACACTCAGCCTTCTTCACCATCTTGAGCCGCAGCAGGAGAAACACTTCAAATGCAGACACACGTAAAGATGTGGAGAAAGGAATGCATTTAAAGGGCGAAGAAAGAACTCTGCAAGGCCATGTGAGAGCCATCTGGAAAGAGCTCTGTCATTGACGCAGCTCCGTCTTACAGAAAAGGAGCTGTAGACTAAGGGGCCATCCTCCAAACAGGAGGCACAGAGGGCTGAGTGGCTGTCTGTCGGGAGCAGGAGAACGCCGGGGGTGGGAAGAATCACCCCTGGTCCATCCACTTTTCAAGTGGCTGTCTGGTGGGACTGAGCTCATGTCCCAGCTACAGGGGCAAGAATGTGACCTGAGGGGCCTAATGGGGATCCCTGCCATCTCTGGGAGAGGCTCGGAGGACAGCAGAGACAGGCGTCAGGGAGAGGGGATGCTGATGACACTGCCCAACATCGGGAATCCAGCTGGCCTGAATTTGCCCATTTCCCACAAATGTAAGCCAGTGAGTAGAGCACACCGGCCGGACTCAGGTCCTGCTCCTCCAGCGTGCCGCATGAGCCTCGGCCGACCATGGGACACCACGTGACCCGCACAAATTGAGTTCTCTCCGTGCCTCGGTTTCCGCATCCATACAACTCCAGCTGCCTTGTGTACTACCGTCCACCTTCTAGAGAAGAGTCGAGGAGTGGGTGGTGCATTTGCCGAGAGCTTCCTCCTCTCATGATGGAGAAAGGTCGGACCAGGACCAACAGCAAGCTGCAGGAAGGTCAGCCCAGACATGCGTCTCCACACACCCATTGGGCAATGCTTCTGGGCCAGTGTCTGCTTCACTGCCTCCCTCCCTTCTCCTTTCCAGAGCAGCTTCTGATCAAGCAGGAATTCATTTCTTTCTTTCTGTTCACCTGAAGCTTCTGACGTTTTAGAAAACGGAAGTCAGAGGAACGTTCTTGACTTGGCTCCGGACCCAATGGGCTCCACACAGAGTGGACAGAGCAGGCGCTTTCCTGAGTTCCTCTGTGGCTTCCTGAGCGGCTCCTGGCCGGCTCGGGTTCACACAAATCCGGGCTTTGGAGTCGTCACCAGCCAGATCTATTTGGTCTCGAGTTCACACAGCAAGTACTCAGAGCGCAAGTACAAGGGGGAGGGTTTATCAGCAGTGGCATGCCAGCTGGATGTCTGAGTTTGGATGCCAGAGGGAGGGCCGTAGTCTCTGTCTGTGGTCTGCACTTCCGCTGTTATGCCGGGGGGGGGATCACCTCAAATCAGAACACAGGAGACTTAATAGTCGCCACACCTGGTTAGCATCCCGCTGCATGGCCATACCTCCGGCTAAGTGCCAGATGCCTCAGATGGACCCTAGCTGGGTCTCTCGTCCTCTGACGTGCAAGAAGGGCAGGCCATGACTGTGCCCCCTACACAGAGACTGTGAAGATGTGCGTTTCCGCAGGTTTTTGTTGAGCAGGCAGCCACCCTTTGGACTTTCACCAGGCTGCCGAGTCCCCATGTGGCTCCTACTTATCACGACACCCCACTGTTGGGAAGCCATTGTCCTCATAAAGCTCTCGCCGCCAGAGGAGGGCTCAGCAGCACCTCCCTAAGGGCAGGTGAGGATGGGAATCTGGGAGCAGACTTTGCCCAGATCATGAGGCATTTGCTAGGGGAACAGAGACCACAAAGAACTGTTTCTGAGAGGGCAGGGGAGCAAGGACAGACGAGGAGGGCACGCAGCATACGGAAAGCACTTACATATCACTTGAAGGCGTGGGTTTTGATGAGGGGCTGGGTAAGTTGGCTTCCATAATATCATTAAAACTATTGTTTCCTACATTCTTGGCCAGCTGTAACAGAAACAAAACATGTGATGGCAAACTCTTTACAATGAGTGTAAATGTCTCGAGTGACTTCCCAGTATTTTCCCTAACTTGATTCAGATTACAAACCGTCCAGCTGGTGAGCATGTTTACTGAGCACTGACTGTGAGGTACCAGGCATGGCACTAAGTGCTGGAAAACCATGTCTTCCTAGAGGAGCACCCGAGGCTGGCAAAGACCAAGACCACCCACCAACAAGAACACCACCCATTCAGTGCAGCGTGAGCAAACGCTAAGACTGAGTAGAAAATGTCCCCCTCCCCACTCTCTCTGAGGTCAGAGAGAGCAGGCCCCAGTGGTGTTAAAGGGTTCAAGAACAGCAACGGCGTTTCCCACCACCTCATGTCGGACTGAGTCCTGGTGGTCGGAAAGAGTGCGGATTCCTTCACGTCTAGGCTACAAATGAAGCTGCTGCTGCAGCAGCTAATGGAGAAGGCCCAGCATGCACCGTGCTTCTGAGATCAGACAACCCTCTCAAAAAATGCCTGAAGGGAGACGGGTCACTCAGAGCATCTTGGGATCAATGTCCATGTTTGAGACATGTACATTCAGCCAGGTCTTGGGGTTCAGTGCACAAGGGTTCCGGATTTGAACTCTCCCCTTTTCTAATTGCAAAACTGGGTCTCACTGGTACCAGTGACACCATTTGTGGAGTGACACACAGAGACGGAGTGTGCTTCAGGTAACGGGTGGAGCCTTCCCTCTAGGGTCCTAAGGAGTGAGTGAGGGCCCGAGACCCAGTGAGCTCATATCCTGCTCCTTCAGTCAAGGGGTCCACGTGCCTCCTGGGGGCTCTGATGACAGAGGCTGCTGGCGAGGTAGGCACCTGCTCTAACCTATTAGCACTCTTCTCCAGACAGGGAGTGGTCACCTAGGCCTCCAGAGGATGTGAGGCCAGCCTCACTCAGTCTGGTCCAAGGAACCCTATCTCCTTTCCATGAAGTTCAACCTGGGCATAAAGGCTCACAGCGAACCAGGTCCAATTGGGTAAGACAGGCTGTGACACAGGCATTATGGGGAACAACAGGGGGCTTCCCTGCTTTTGTTTGGAGTACTGAGGGTAACAATTTAACGTGGCCCTAACTTGGCTCTGAATCTGGGTAAACATTACGATACCAAGAACCAGAACTGCATAAAAGGTTTCCCTATATTACCCAAAGATGTGATGGGTTAAAGAGGAACCGGCCTTAGGATGTAATCCCTGGGTGGTCAGCTACTAGGCAGAATGCTGCAGGGTCACATGTATCCACAGCCACCTTGGCAGAAAAAGGCCTGGAAAATCAAGCTGCAAGAAAATCGATCCCTGAAAATCCTGTGACGCACACGTCCTCCAGGAGACTCATGGGGCTGCCAGGGCTCCGAATGCACACGACGGCAACAGGTTACTGGTTGGTTACGACAGCAGCCACCAGAGCACGCCTAATTCACGTGCACTTTCATCGACTTGGGAGCAGTAAGCCACAACTGAGGGCAACTCTGCAGCCAGGAGTTCTAATAATCTGAGCCTGCAAGTAAATGAGTCCCTAGCCTACTTTTCACAGCGATGCCTGTGAAGCACATGAAAGCCACTTTCTAAAGGAAAAGGCAGCTCACCCAGCTCACCTGAGTCCCAATGTTTGACTCGCAAATTACAGAACTCCATGCCTCGTCACTTCTTCCAGTGAGACACAGAAAATCAACATTACATGTCACAAAAGATCGTTTACATGTCTATGTACATTAACAAAATTCAGACACTAGGAAATCTTTGTCTTCAGCAGAAACAAACAAACAATAAAGGTAGCAAGTACATTCATGAAAAGAAACATGTTTCTCTCCCCTCAATGTATCCGCCCCCACCCAGATTACTTACCAAGAGTTCAGAAGTTCCTAATTTGTCTAGTTCCAAAGACTGAATGCGAGAGATATGAACCCCCATTTCCCTATGGATGCCGGAACATTCTATACAGGTCAAAATGCCCAAGTTGGTTGAAAGCCAGGTAGGTTCTGTGGAGAGAATTTTGAGGACAATAAAGTAAGCACAGTGTTTAGTTCTAATGTGCCAACTGTGGGAGATGCTAATGGAACAGCAGTACAACCGTTGTTAGAAATTATGAGGTAACATTGAGAGGCCCGAAGGGCCGGTCTCAATCCCAACTACGTGGCCCCCTGCCCCAGCAGAAGAATTTACTTCAGGGGACAGCACTGAAGTTATAGCTCGGGGAGAGGGACATGTCTGATCAGAGCACACGGGAGCAAACGAAGAGGGAAGGAAAGAGACACATCCTGGCCCTGGCCCACCAAACCAATGCACAGAAAGGACCA